CATTAACCTGATATGGTGGACATATCTTTTTACCTAAAGTTATTTCGTTAATGTTGTGAAGTGGTGGACATATCTTTTTAACATAAAGTTATTTCATTAACCTGATGTGGTGGACATACCTTTTTACACAAAGTTATTTTGTTAATGTTGTGAAGTGGTGGACATACCATAAAGTTATTTTTACATAAAGTTATTTCATTAACCTGATGTGGTGGACATATTTTTTACACAAAGTTATTTCGTTAATGTTCTGAAGTGGACATATCATTTTACATAAAGTTATTTCGTTAATGTTGTGAAGTGGTGGACATACCTTTTTACATAAAGTTATTTCATTAACCTGATGTGGTGGACATATCTTTTTACATAAAGTTATTTCATTAACGTGACGTGGTGGATTAAAAACTTTGACATTTCTCAGATTTCTGTATATAACTTAAACAGGTAGTAACTATTATTAATTTTCCCATTTACTAAGAGTAATACATGTATTTGTGTTTCATTTTGGAATAGGTTATATTTCATTCTAAATATTAGAAGTCACCACATTGATTAACATACTTTTTTGTTTTGTGTCACTTTTCTTCATTAAGTTTCAAAACCTTTAAATATGTTGCAACAATGGTTTGATACTTAGGTTTGGAATATCTTGAAATATGTGTATAAGCTAATTATAAAGTTTTTATTGACAGACTTGTTTTACCTTTGCAGAATTCTAATTTGTGTGATGTAAACATTTGGATAAATACAGCTTATTGCTGCTTTTGTAAAGAAAAAAAAATGTTTTGTAAAAATGACAGAAATGACTAATACAAAATATTGTTATTGAAAATTTCTTGGTCTTTAAACATTATTTTACAAATTAATAATTTATTAGCATTACATGAGGTGGCTGCACAGAAATGTGTTGTGGGTAATTTTAGTGAAACTATTGATATGTAGATGACATTGTTATAGATTTGCCTTCATATGTCAACTTGCTGTTTGTTTTTCCAGGCTTGTCTTGCTGCTCTCACTAATCCGGATCATTTTAATGTTCGAGATTCTGAAGAAGTCAAGACAGGTAGACATATTATTAAGCTAAAATTTGCTTAGCCAACCAGTGTTAAATATTGAATAAACTCACATACTTAACATATTAAATAAACATAACGTCTTTTAAAAAACAGTACAGTTAACTTGTAGAAGACTAATGAAAAAAAAAAACTGAAATTATTCTACCATCAAATAAATTGAAAGCTTTTTCAAAACATTTTTAAATTCCAAATTTTGTTGGACTGGACAAGTGAAATAACTGAGCTTTAAAGGAGTATATTTTGTTTCAGTAATTGAATCAGATTTTGAAAATAAGTATCACTTCATCTCTAGAAAAGAAACCAAATAAGTCTTGCTGACTACTTTAGAGAAAAACAGATGAAAATCAACTTATTATATACACTTGTTGTTAATAAAATGTACAGACATTTCTTGATGTTGTAAAGGATTGTAATTTATTTGGTTTTTTTGAAGGTGTGGAGCAGACAATTCAAAGATTTTTAGATCTAGCAAAGCAGATGGAATGTTTCTTTCTTCAAAAGAGACTTCTTCTTTCAACACAGAAGCCAGAACAGTTTGTTATTGAGGTGACTGAATACCTTTTCTTTATTGTTGATATCCTGAAAAATTACAAAAAAAATTTTATCTCTCAAATTTTAATGTCATATTTGTAGAGTGCATATTGCTATACAGATTAAAAAATTGGAAAATCATATTTCCAATACTGATGATGACAAAACCTTGTCGAAACGTTGTACATTTGCTGTTGTATTAAAGTTTTTCTTCATTACCCATTCAAGCCGTCTCCAGCCATTATTATATTTCCAATACATTGTTTTCACATGCTAAGAGTGACTTCTGTATCTTATTATTGTTATCAATAAAGAAAAGGTATTCAGTCACCTCAATAACAAACTTCTGGCTTCTGTGTTGAAAGAAGAAGAAGTCTCTTTTGAAGAAAGAGTAACTTCTGTATCTTATTATTGTTATCAATAAAGAAAAGGTATTCAGTCACCTCAATAACAAACTGTTCTGGCTTCTGTGCTGAAAGAAGAAGTTTCTTTTGAAGAAAGAGTAACTTCTGTATCTTATTATTGTTATCGGCATACCAATATTAGATGTAGTTCTTTCAAGGTAGGCAAGTGGCCCCTGAAGGCCACCTTGATGCTGTTGTGGATCTCCAAATTGGCCACCTTGTGGCATTTGTGAGGGATGAGTTACCATTCCCTGTTGCTGAACCATACCAGGATGTATGTTAGGAGGAGGATGTTGTAATGGAAGTTGGTGACTGGTCATCTGATGAGGATGTGTTACAGGAGATGCTCCTTGGTGCTGGGGTGGTACAGGCTGGGAAATTCCTTGCATCTGTTGCGTCGGTGGAGGTACGGGATGATGAGATAGCCTGGGAGAGGCCGAAACCTCCGCCACCAAGCTTTGCCAATAAGAAATCTTCTCATTGTACTTCTGTAAGAGCTGTTCTTTGCGAGCAAGCTCATTTTTCAGTTCATACAGTGTGTAGTTTTGTTAGTTGGTTTACTGTCAAACTGATCACTAGTTTTTAATAGTTATATGTCTTAATTACTGTTGATTATCTAGAGAATGAGAAATATGTTGAAAACTAACATCATAATCTTATCTGACAAATACATAAAATTATCTAAAAAATCTGAACGAAACTGTGTTCTTACTGGATAAATGTTGAACAGACTAACATACCACTTGTTGAATATTAAAAGTCCAAATCCGACAAGTGCCAGGATAAGTGAGAAGTAACAGTTTCCATCTGCGTTTGACCATTTCACTGATTTATACATGTTATCAGAGAAAGCAAAACCGTTTTATTTACAACTTCCAATACTTCTGGATGAGATTTTGTATTAAGGTCTTAGTAAGCAGAATCCTGGTTCTTATCAATCTTTAAATAGTACATATGTCAATAACTACTCAATCAGTCGAGCATTTCAAGCTTTTTATATGCAAGTACTTGAATAACATATCATCCAAAAACTCATTCTTCAACTCAACAATCATGGATAAAGGTTTACACGTTACACGAATAAATAAACTATTTATGCATTTGTAGCAGAGAGATATATATATATACGTTGAGTATATTCCTTGCAACACATAACAAAAGAAGACACCCAAGAACAGGATGAACATGAACTGGTGTATTTGTTAATTATACTGTAGATAACCAAATCACTTGCTCTCAACAACAGTATAAAAATACCTATTTCAGTTATTTACCAACACATATTACATCATACATAGAAGGAAAAAAAGTATACGCAATGGATTTTCTCTATGCTGAGGTGAAATCAAAATGTAATACAAATGTCTTTGAAAAACAAAATTATCATCTTCTGTGATCCTTAGTAATAAAGTGTGTAGTTTTGTTAGTTGGTTTACCATCTGGCTAGTAATAAAGTGTGTAGTTTTGTTAGTTGGTTTACCATCTGGCTAGTAAGCCAGATGGTAAACCAACTAACAAAACTACACACTTTATTACTAGCCAGATGGTAAACCAACTAACAAAACTACACACTTTATTACTAGCCAGATGGTAAACCAACTAACAAAACTACA